ATACACTCGAAACCAGGAAACTTCTCACCGTTGTAAACGCCAACACCTCTGCCCAACTTCCCTCTGTTATTTAACCCTGTTGTTTGTCGCGGCGATGGTTTGCTCTACGTTGCGTTTATTTCAAATTCAAAAATTTGCCAGAGCTTGCAAATTTTGAGAAATATACGCTGTAATATGGTTGAAAATTTTTCATATTCGGTTCTGTGAATTTTAATGCTTAGAAATGGCCTAAATCGATATTGAGGAAGATGCATAATTTCGTCGAAATCGATACAGGTATTTATAATGAAAATATTGATAAAGAAAATATTGATTATTGGAACGTCGATCGAAGTAAAGTTTGGGAAATGGCACAATTCCTGGATTAATTCAAGGAATTGTGCAAAATTTCAATCGATAATCAATGATCATGGTAAATGATAGCATTTTAACTTAAACCGAACTGTTCGATATTGTGTTGCTCTTCCCTCTTGTGTTTCGTTATATATTATACGATACATTTATTTAAAAAATTGCTGAAACCCTTCGGCAATTTGGTCTTCGGCCTTTTACTTTTAGAAATAGCACGATAAAAGTTTCTAAATTTCTATTGATCATAAATATTCGCGTAGTTTTTCCATTTCATTAACAGAACAGGGAGAAATTTAAAAACAAGGCTACTGCTACGTTTCCAATAATAATAAATCTTCCAGTTTTTTTTAATTAAAATTCGCCATGACGCTCAAATATTTTTATGCCAAAAAACTTTTTAGTATCGATTTTCCTGAATACGAGGCGCCGAATAAAAAACTTTCATTGTTTTCAATTTATTTTTACACGGCGGGGAATTGCCCCATAGTCTGTTGGACTCGTTTTGTTATAAAATATAAAAAATGATATATATCGTGCTAGGCACCCCGTAACGTGTAATAAACTTTAAATTATTGACTGAGATAACGGCGAACAAAAAAATAAAAATCGCAAACGATATTGTTCTTTTTTCCCTTTTTACATCTTGTAATGCGTTTTATATGTGTTCTGCAAATTCTGATGTTCAATGCAAAGAATGCTGTTAAATTATCATCGTGTCAGAAAAAGTATTTCGTGGAAAAGTGAATTATTTTAATTATTCTTCATTTATTTTATTTCTATTAGATTTTATTAAATTGTAGCTCGGCTTTAATCGTTTCGTTCTAAAGGCCATCTTCTCTATGCGCGAACGACCACTATAGCGAACTGCACACGAACAGTCAATCGGGTGTTAAAATATTTCATTGCTTCATAAATTAACTACAGTAAAGAATACGGCATTGTTCTCTCTCGACAAATCTGATCGTAAAATGTTTAATTGCAGAGAGAAATGCTCTGCTGTATAATTTATAGCGTTTTCACAGCGAAGGGATTTCTTAAATGCAGCTCTAAAACCCAAAAAAGTGAGAAAAATATATTATTGTCAGATTTCCTCAGATTGAAATTTTGGAGCGATTGAACATCCGCCGATAAGACTCAACTAGTAATCACGTGCATATTTAGTAGACTAGAAGTGTAAATAGTTTGGAAAGTTAACTCGACCACGTGATATAACACTGTACCGGATTGCTTTGCCCCAAGAGTCACGTTATTTTATAGCCCAAAAACATAGCTGCTGGTGGTAATTCCTCGGCAACTCGGGCGAAACTATTCGGTGCTCACGGGCCGCGCTGAGAAGTCAATTCGGCGAACGATCGCGATGCGAAACGAAGTTGGAATAGTTCGTTTCACACGCGGCCGGATCGATTCTGGCGAATCGCGTGTTATCGAGCCGCGGAGTTTCCGCGAGCGAGATGCTTCCGTTTCGTCGGTCAGAAATCCGCGAAAGATGGCCTTCATGTGCGAAACGCGGGTCCAATTGATGGCCGCTTCAGCGAGAAACGTTCGCCGAAACGAAAATCCCTGAGGAACTTTGCCGGCAGAGTTCCGCGAGAGCGTGAAAGGCACAAAGGGTCAACCAGCTTGCGCTCAGAATTTTCCGAATCGTCGGCACGGGTTTTCATTCCTAGGCGCAACACGGGCGCTTCTGAAAAGCGGCATACATTCTCTGCGCCTCGTCTCAAAGTTCCCTGGACAATAAAGAGATCAAAGAGATCGGAGGAAAAGACACCGAATGGAAACGTGCATCGGTATGGTGACGAGCGTAGGCGTGGTAGCTGCACGCTGAACGAATCCCGAATTGTTCGAAATCTTTGACCCGTATGTGTACAGCCGTGAGCAAAGCAGTGAAAGAGTGTAATCGGCACCCGGGGGCCTTGTGACGTCTGAAGAACAGTAATTATAAACATATGCTAGACTCTTTTTCCGGCTACTGGCGTTTTCTGGACACGCGTTCTAGTTGCCGCGTCAATAAGCTCGTCCCTTTCAAACGCGGAAGATTCATCAGCGGTCCAGTTTTTACCCAGAGAATTCTCGTGGATGAGTTTGATACCTAACTTCGTTGTACGTCTCACTTTGTTTCATGTATTTAAAATGAAGTTGGTATTGAATCTTGGCCATTGAGGGAAATGAGTATCACGAAGTTAATATTTAACGTTTCGCACGTAATGTCCTGTTAAAGCAATGCAATTCCACTACAAGATGCAGAAGATTTATGCCTCGTTACGAGAAAGTATCGATCACTGAAAAAAAAGATCATTGATCATGTTCTTTCCAAACAATTCATTCAGGATATGTTTGAAATGACGTTACTAAAGTCAAACGGTGTGCGCTGTATCAACTGTAACTTGCAAGAACTGTCGCTGAAAATAGAAACAACCATCTTTGCGAGAATTCGCCTCGAACTCGAACATTTGCCATTCACGCGGCAGGCCAACATCGACACGTATCGAACCGAGCGATCGAAAACGGAACAGCCGTAAAAACCATTGCCCGTGACTCGCAACCGCAGAAACTCGCATTGTGCGGCGGAAAACAACGAAAACTTTCCAGCTATCTTCACCCTAGCATTTAACACGCCAGCGTCTGAAACGCTCGTACAACAAAACAAGGAGTTTGCTAAATCGACACGTTCAAAAAAAAAAAAAAAAAAAAA